GTGGTGTAGCCTGTTGTAGACAAAAGGACTGAGGAGAAGAATGAGTGGGAGCTACTCTAGGGGACGGGGGCTGCATTGGTTAGAACCATTAGGGAGCTGCTCTTGTGGGGACAATGCTGTGTGGGTGAGAGCCCTTAGGAGGAGCACTTGAGGGGCGAGAGGTCTCAAGGAGCTGTCTACAATGTTCTAGGGTCCCTGAGGTACCTCAGGTTGGAGCAGGCTCTGTAGGGTAAAGCCCTGAACTGGCTAGCTGTGCCTCAATTTCCCCATAACTTAGAGTTCAGGCAATGTCCTCCCGGATCCAGCAGTGGGGATTCTCCTCAGGTGGGGTCTCAGAGGGATCCCTGTTACATTAGAAACTGCTGGGGAATTTGTGGCAGGATGGACTCAGCGGAGCTAGGATTTGCCCACAATAGCTGGAATACTGGCCCTGCTCTTGCATGATGCCCTGGGGATAGGTAATGACCAAATGCTCAGGTCTACACTTTATCTGGCATGCAGATCCCATGTGCTTGAGACAGAGCCGACAGCTCCCCACACAGAGTCATGCACTCCGCACCCTTCAGTACAGCACTCTGTAGCGCCATGCTGTGACTCTGAGGGACAGTGCCCCCAACTGACCTCCCACATCACTCCCTGCCACACAGCACCTGCTAGATAGGCATTGGGGTCAGCACTGACTTGCCGGGACAATGTTCCTTTTTAGGTGGCCCACCCCGCTCCCTGCAGCTCACCACAGCACCTGCTGGCCATTGGTGTCAGCACTGACTCTGAGCACAGGGTGCCCCTATTAGGAAGGCTACCCATCCACTAGCACAGTGTTGGAACTTAAGGAACAGCACTGATACAGCAGCAGAGCACACCCTACTACTTCAACAAGATTCCCCACTGAAAAGCTTTGGATTACTTCATTGCAAAGGTAACCTATCTAACTACTGACCATACTGGGCCTTGTCTATGTTGGGCGTAGCCTGGGGGCTGCTTTAAATGGAACTAACTGGCTGTGGTCCCATAGGGGCCATTAGCCAGCTGGGCACTGTCAGGGCCCCATCACCTCCCAGCCACTCTCCTTTGCCTGCTCTGTCCTACCCACAACATGCCCCGTCTGTGGTGGAGGGCTGCAGTTTCCTGCCCTCTATTTAGCAAAGCCTACAGGGTGGACATAGGAGCAGGGTGGACATGCGCGCCCAGCACTCACCCACACAAAGCCGGCTTCAGCCCTGGCTGCTGTGACAGTGACTCCATCCACCTGGACAGTCACCGACCCACTGTAGAAGACCTGTGTGTTCCCACTGTTCTCGCTCTTGGCCATGACATGGAAGGAGGGCAGGCTGGAGGCATCCCTGCAGGTCTTGGCCACGGTGTAGGTGCAGTTGCCATGGAAATCGTATGCCCGTCCATCGAAGGTGTGGTAATGAAAGTATCCCCCAGCCCAGCATGTGCCCCGAGAGACTGGCACGCACTTTGGCTGCTCATTTATCATCTTACAAATAGTTCCTTCCCTGCAGCTGACCACACTGCAGGATGGCTTTGGAATAACTAGTGGGGAAAGAAAAGACAAGAAACAGATAGATGTTACTGATTAATCTGCTATCTATCTATCTACCTACCTATCTCTCCCCCCACACACATCGTTATATCTATCTATCACCATGCACTCCTCCGTCTCTCTTCCTCTCCCCATACACACTTCCTTTGCATCATTCACAAACCTCCCGCAAGTCCCATACTGAGGAAATCTCTGCATGTGTGTGTCCACAGCAAAACCGGCTCCTATGTCTCCTTCCCCGCAATGCCCGGCAGAGGTGGTACAACACCTATGGGCATGTTGTGGGCAGCATGGAGCAGGCAAAGGAGAGTGGCTGGGATGTGCTGGGCTCTGACACTGCCCAGCTGACTAATGGCCCCCATAGCCAGTAGGCTCCAATTTAGAGCAGCTCCTAGGCTACAGCCAGGGAGAAGATCTAGGAGTGTGATCAGCTCCCTGCCCACTTGGCTCTGCTGTGCACATCAGAAGATGGACGCAGCAGAGACTGACCCAACAAATGTTTCCATCTTTCAAGTCAAAATGCTGTAATATTACGGGTCAGGGTTCCAGGCTAAATAAAAGTGGAGAGAGAGAGTGAGAAGTGTGAGGAGACATAATTAAAATGACTTTACTCACTGCTTATGCAGTGCCCTCAGGGCATGTTTCAATCAGTGACTTTACCTTGGCCGACGCAGTCCATGACGCCGTCTCTGATCTGGCAGGTTGCTCCACTGGTGCAGCTGTGGGCTTTGCAAGTCACCCCTCGGGCAGGAACGCAGGTGCAGCTTTGCTGGCACTCGTTCATCAGGACCATCTCACTGGGCTGATGGGATGTTTGGGAAGGAGGAAATAACGCAATGTAAGTGGAAATGGTTATTTATTATAATTTCTGTCAGTGCTAAACTCAGAGCTGTGTGATGAGGTGTGTGAAAAACTATTATGTCATAATATTATTTCTCTTAACATTAAGGAGAGGTTTTCTAATGAGCTAAGAATTGGGCTGAGTGACAGGACAATGCCTAGGTTTTAATCTCCCATCTGCTACTGACTCACTGGGTGGGTCTTGAGCAGGTCACTGCCCCACTCTGTGCCTGAGTTTCCCCACAACGGATGAAGGGAATTAAATCTTCTTGCCTTTCTTGGTGCTTTGGGCACTGGGTATTAACAAAGCAGCGATGCCAGGCTAGATAGGCCAATGCTCTGATCCACTATAGCAAACCCTGTTCCTGACTAGTGTAGGGATTAAGATATGTGAGAAAAAAATTTAGATCAGACCCAGACTGCTTGAGGCTGTACCTTGTAGTATCTCCCCTGTTTGAAGCACCCGCAGTTCTCCAGAGTCACACAGCCCTGGCCATCGAAGAAGAAGCCCCGGTCACACTGGCAGCCTTCAGCACAGGTCTCTGGGCAGTCCATGATGTCTCTAGAGCAGGTGGTGGTACAGAGGTCAGCGCAGAGCTCGTAGTGGCTGTTGACCGGGCAGCTCACAGCTTAAATAGAGAGAGAAATAAAGGATGGCTGGAAAGATCTCACACCAAGGACTAGAGGAACAGACATGAAGGAGAGGAGAGCAGGAGAGGAACAGGGCGCCTTTGTAAGGGAACATGAGATTGTTGGTTCCCATCCAGAAGAGTTCTAGAAGAAGCCCAGAGGCCTGGAGCAAGATGCCCAGTAACACTGACCCCTTCCCTTCCCCAGAGCTCCTAAACTATCAGCGCACTTACGGCAGAAGGAGGTGCTCCTCCAGGGCTGGATGAAGACCTTAGCCTCTTGGCAGGCTGTCACGTAGCTGTGGATGCTCTGGCACAGAACCTGTGTGTCCCCGTTGCCCAGGCACAGATCATACAGGCAGTTGCTCTGATACACACTGGGGCTGACCATGCCGTGGCAGGCCGCAAAGGGACTGTCGGGGTCTGTGAGCAGCCCACAGTAGTTGCGCCCTTTGAAGACCTCCTTCTTCTTCTCTTCGCAAACTGGACAGCTGTTTCCAGCACATCTGTCTGTACAGGATGCTCCTGGGATCTGGACTTCCCAAGCAGAGCCAAATGCTGCCGCATCAGGGGCTGTCCTGCCACTGGGGAGCAGGAACTCCTCGTCCTGCTGTCCGTTGTAGTTCCCACATAGGCCACACGTCTGGCCATGGTAGCTCCCTGGGATGGTGACTCTGGCCTGGTAAACCAGGTCGTAGGTCACAGTGAGGCCAAAGTCAGTTTGCACCAGGACATTAGTGCCATGCTGATATGCTCGGAGCTGCCCATTGACCATTATCACGGGGAGATTGTGGGATACCCCGTCCACCTGGAAAAGACAGCACATTCCCCTGTGAGCAGGTAGGATGGACACTGCATTTGTGGGTAGGGGCTATGGACAAGTTTTGAGATTCAGCTCTCACTGACACCATGGGTTAAATCCAGAATGACTCATGACTCCTGATTTCACTTTGCAATGATTTATCCTCACCTTCCAAGCTCTTGACATTGTCACCCAGACTTACATTTCTGATCTCATCTGCCAGGCACCTCCCTTCCTCCTCATCCTCTCTCTTTACCTTCCCCAACTCCTCAACCCATGTTTGGCCTGCTCCTTCTTATGCCAACTCCTGGACTCAGAACAGTCTCCTACTTCTTCTCCATCTCCCCCGCGCCTAAAAACCCACTTCCCTGATGATGCCTCCTTCCTTCATTCCTTCCCTCCCTCTCCTATATCAAACAATTTCCTATGTGTTGTGTTCAATTTGCCCCAAATTAGACTGCAGGCTTCATAGGGCACTAGGCCATGGGACAGATTCTTTAACACAGAGGCCAATGGAGATATAATGGGGAGGAATTTTACCCCATGTTTGCAAAATGTGAGGTATGTGGAGGGGGTTCACCAAATAATTAATACTCATAAATAGGGGTATAATCAACAAGAGAGGCATGCTGGAGGATGCTCATCTCACCCAAGAGAAGCTTTGACATAGCAGCATCCATGAGTAGCACTTTCTACCATCTCTAGCTGGGTAAGAGACAGCATCCCATTCTGACAGAAGATAGGAGTATTCAAGTGCTACACAACTCTGCAGCATGCCTCCTCAGCAACACTAGCTGCTGTACACATCAAACCTGTCCTCCACTCCCTACCCTGGTTTCCCATATAACAAGGAATCCAGTTCAAGTCCTCAGTCCTTATCCCAAGGTGCTCAGTGGCCTGGGCCCAGGCTATCTAAAAGAGGAATTAAACCTCTAGGTTGAAGACTGTGGTGGACAACTTCTTTCCATTGGCACAATGGAAATCACATCAATAAGGATAAACTTTGTCTCCTGGAGATGAAGCTTTATTAGGAGTTGGTCCAAGGCTAGAGAATGAACCGTCTCAGGAAGTAAGGACCCTCACAAACCTAGCCACCCTCCTTTCCAAGTGCAAGGTGCGTTCTTAGACCGCCTTTCTCCAACATATATATGGCAACACACGTATACATTTATCATTATAAAAAAAATGCACAACAAAACACCCCACTGCAAACACATCTTTCCTGGGGAGAGGAGGAGAGAACAAACATGCGGCAGATGTTAGTCACATTGCTTAACGTATTTCTGGGAGGGGCTCAAATACCACGTGGATGAGCCTGGTATATGAACCTTGTAGTAGGGTGGCCTGCCCCTCAGAGGCTCGCGGCCAATCCTTATTACTAAGTAGGCACATCCGAGCAGGAATCATATGTGTCCCCAGGAAGAAGCCAGGCTCCTGGTCCAGCAGAGAGAGTTCTCAGGGAGAAAGGGGAATAGAGAGGCTGCTGGCAGTGAATAGGCTCCCTCAGAGAAACCTGAAAGTAGGGGAGTGAGACAGCAGTCAGGCAATGCCTGGGAATGACCAGATAAGGCGGTGAATGGCTGTATGTGAAAACTCCTATTTGAATGAGATCCATAGGAGGGCTGTTGCTATTGGACTTGTAAAAACCTTTTGTGAGTTATTGAGGAGTCCAAGAGGGGAAGCTGAGGCAGACCACATGCAGAAACCTCTGGCCACAAAGGAACACTCAGAACGATCTAAATGAGGATCTGGAGAAGGCCTTACCATGATGAGCCCCTGTTTGTTCTGCAGCAGGGTGAATGTGATCCCATACACCTGGATGGACACCAGCTTGGCCATGGAGACGTTCCCGCTGCCCCAAGATTCTTTCTCTACGCTGATAGTGAATGGTGTAAGGTGGCTGGCATCAGTGCAGGTCTTGGCCAGGACATAAGTGCAGGTGCCTTGGAAGTCAAAGGCGACCCCGTCGAAAGAGAGGTAGTGGGGATGGCCAGAGGCAGAACAGGTCGCAGATCCAAATGGGTGGCATTTCTGGATGCCGTCCACCACCCCGCATTTCTCACCAGCGCCACAGGAGAAAGCCTTACACACAACCTCTCCACCAGCCTGACACACACACTGCTCCTTGCATGAACCGCTTGGGTGGAAAGTCTCCCAGGGCTGGTAGTAAAGTCCCCTGTGGAGGCATCCGCACTGGGAAATGGGGATGCAGTGGTCGCCACTGAGAACAAAACCCTCATTACACATGCAGCCTTCCTTACACTGGGTCATGCATTGCACCGGGGCATAGAGGTTGCTGCATGTCACATCGCAGCTGCTGCTGCAGAATTCATAGTGACTGTTCAGGGGACAGGACGGAGCTGTAATTAGAACAAAGAGTTAGCTCACATAGTGCATTAGCAATGTGTGCAATGAACCATCACAGAACATGCAATTTCATTCAAGCTCCTAATTTTCTATTTCCTTGGTTTGGTTAATTAATAAAAGGCACCATGTGTAATCCAGTTCCAGGTCTGGTTAAGTGGTTGCTCCAAAGAAACCAGGCAGTGGGATACAGATAATCGCTTTCCTAAGGCTAGGCTTCCAATTTGGACCAAGGTCAAGGTGTAGGGAGTGGAGGGCCCATGGACCTGGGAGTGTTCTGCAGAGCTTTTCAACATTAGCTTATTGTTTGGATATGGATCAGTAGTGCCTAAAACTCATTCCCAGATGATGGCTTATGGGAAATGAGTTGGTGGGTTCCCAGACTGGTTCCTAATGGACAGACATCTCAATTAGTGAGTCACCACCATGTCCCAGCTCTAATTATGTCCCAGTCTCAGCACATAAGCCAAGAACTAGATGAGCTATGAAGGGCATCACTACACCTCTAGACAGTGCCTCTCTGGCCTGTGGTGCAGCACATTGATAGGGCCCGGAGAGTGGGCAGCTTCTATGGCTACTGCCTGTGCTGTACCCATACTTTGGGCTCCTTTGATAATTAAGAAATGTTCATCAATTCATGAGCTCAACATTTAAACCAACATCTACCAGCCAACTTGGAACAGTGATCCCCATGGGGCAGGCAGCGGTGAACATGGGCGACTCACAGCAGAATTTTGTAGTCCTCCAGGGATGCACCATAGCTCCAGCTTCCTGACATGCCTCGGCATAGCCAGCAACGGCCTGGCAGACGTTACTCTCCCGCCCACTGAGGACGCAATAGCCATACACGCAGTCTACAAAGTACCCATGGGGGTCCACTTTGCTGTGACATCCTCTGAAGGGGCCACTCTTGTGGAGAATGATCCCACACTGCCCTCTGCTACCTCGTTGTTGTTTTTCAATAGCCTCTACACTTGCACATGGTGGTATCGTTACTGCAGAGCATCCCGGGAGGTCGCCCACCTTCCAGCTCTGGCCAAAGCTGATGGGGCTTGGTGCCAGCGTGCCATCCCTCATCAGCATGTCGTCCTCCCTATCACTGTTGAAGTTGCCACACAGACCACACACAGCTCCCATGTAGGTGACTGGCAGAGTGACCGTGGTGCGTCCTGACCACCCAGCATAGGTAACGGTGAGGCCAAAGTCTGCCTGGATCACTGTGGCCCAGCCCTTTCTATACACAGAGATTTTCTTATCAATGAGGTTGAAGGGAAGATTCATCAGGACACTGTTCACCTGTTAAAGCAAGACACATGGGATATGAAACATCACTCGCCTGTTGTGGAACCTCTCACCCCAGCACAGAGCTCTGGCCCATGATTACAATAATAAGCCACCTCTGTTCAAATATTGATCCAGTCCGGCCTGCTTCCTTCCCTACAGCTTGTCTGAATCCCAGCTCTAACCAGACTTGAATTTCCCCCTCTCTGTTCCCCACCTACCCAGGTTCACACCTTTGCTGGATGCTATTGACACTGTGAGGGAGTGCTCACCCCACACCTGCCCTTGAAAGGGTTAAGGTAGATAGATGGGTCAATTAGCCATCTACGATGCACCTGGAAGAGGAGCCAGGGAGCAATAAGAACTAATTAAAGGGTGAAGCTCACCTGACTAGGAACAGGTGGGCTGGTATAAAGCAAGGTAGCTGAGGGCAGTATGGGGCTGCAGGGAAAAGGTCTGCAGTCACTCTCTGGGGGGGGGGTGTCTTGGCCAGGAGGGAAGGGTGTAGCTGGAGAAGGGTAGAGAAGGAGACTGATAGAGGCAACGTAGGAAGCAATCCAAAAAATCAGAAACAAGGCATGGGACAGGATAGACCTTAGATGCTGTTTTTAGGGTCCCTGGGCTGGAACCCAAAGATGAGGGTGAGCCCACGTTCCCCTACCAGCCACTGGGGATGTGGCACCATTGAGGGGCAGTGAATTGGAAGACTGCCTGGAATAGTTGGTGACACTTGGTACATAAACCTCCCAGAAAGGGGTAACTACAGTGGCCTAGCCGGAGGGCCAAGCCACAAGGAGAGAGCCATCAAGTCCAGCTAGAGAGTGAGTATCATAGAGTGAGCACTCGCAGGAAGGGGCTTCAGAAAGGCAGAGCTAATTCCAAGTTGTGGCCACATGGAGGTGCCCCACTGGGGATGAGAGCACACTCTGACAGTATGGACACTTGTGGATGGGAGGGAAGAGCTAGATGTGGTATATCTTGACTTTAGTAAGGCTTTTGATGCTGTTTCACATGACCTTCTCAAACAAACTAGAAAAATACTACCTAGATGGAGCTACTATAAACTGGATGCATAACTGGTTGGAAAACCATTCCCAATCCCAGAGAATAGTTATCAGTGGATCACAGTCAAGCTGGAATGGCATATCAAGGGGGATCCTGCAAGGATCCGTTTGGGGCCTGATTCTAGTCAATATCTTCATCAGTGATTTAGATAATGGCATAGAGAGGACACTTATAAAGTTTGCAGATGATACGAAGTTGGGAGGAATTGAAAGTGCTAAAAAAAGATTCTGGTAAAGTTATTTTTGACAAATAGATTCCTTACTAGGCATATTCATACAGAACTTTGTGTAATTCATTTAAATGACAATACAGAACTGTATTTCCTGCACTTGTCAGAAGCAGGGCAAAGGCTTGGGGAGTCAGGGGTAACGGAGGACCTCAGGGAGAGAGAAGGAGCCTAGGAGTGAAACTGGAGAGTGTTGGGTGTGGGTGAGAGGTTTTTCTTCATGGGGGGTGGGATTGTTAGAGTGTTGGGAAGCCTCCCTCATGAAGACTCTGGATGACCCCAAGCCTCTCCCATTTAGTCAGGCACATCTGCCCCGTCCCCACACCCCTCATCCCCACGGGTCTCTGCAGCCCCCCTCTCCCATCCCCAGGCTCAACGCTGTCACCCAACTAGCTCCTGAGCCCATGTGCCAGTCTGTCACCCCCACAAGTCATTCTGAACCCCAGTCTGTGACCCCCCAGCAGCCCTGTGTGCCCCACTCTGTCCTAAACTGCCTCCACAGGCAAGGTGCTGCTCATGGGGGAATTCTGCAGAACTGGGCATAGAATTTAGTATTTTCCTGCATAAAATACATTTTGCCTAAGAAGTGCTGCAATTCTGCCTTTTGCACACCAGAGGCCGCTGTGGCGCTAGAACAGCCCCATAAATTCAGCCTCGTGGCTGAACGTTGTGACTTTGTCCTCACCCACAACCATTTCACATTTGGGGACAATATATACCTTCAAGTCAGCGGCACTGCTATGGGTACCTGCATGGCCCCACAGTATGCCAACTTTTTTATGGCTGACTTAGAACAATGCTTTCTTAGCTCTCGTCCCCTAATGCCCCTACTCTACTTGCGCTACATTGATGACATCTTCATCATCTGGACCCATGGAAAAGAAGCCCTTTAGGAATTCCACCATGATTTCAACAATTTCCATCCCACCATCAACCCCAGCCTAGACCAATCCATACAAGCAGTCGTTTCCTGGACACCGCTGTACTAATAAGCGATGGTCATATAAATACCACCCTATACTGGAAACCTACTGACCACTATACTTACCCATATGCCTCCAGCTTCCATCCAGGACACACCACACGATTCATTTGTCTACAGCCAAGCTCTAAGATACAACCACATTTGCTCCAATCCCTCAGACAGAGACAAGCACCTACAAGATCTCTATCAAGCATTCTTAAAACTACAAGACCCACCTGCTGAAGTGGAAAAAAAAAACGGATTGACAGAGCCAGAAGAGTACCTAGAAGTCACCTACTACAAGACAGGCCCAACAAAGAAAATAACAGAACGCCACTAGCCGTCACCTTCAGCCCCCAACTAAAACCTCTCCAGTGCATCATCAAAGATCTACATCCTATCATGAAAGATGATCCCTCACTCTCACAGATCTTGGGAGACAGACTTGTCCTCACTTACAGACAGCTCCAAAACCTGAAGCAAATACTCACCAGCAACCACACACCAAAGAACAAAAACACTAACCAAGGAACCTATCCTCACAACGAAGCCTGATGCCAACTCTGTCCACATATCTATTCAAGTGACATCATCATAGGACCTAATCACATCAGCCATACCATCAGGGGCTCATTCACCTGCACATCTACCAATGTGATATATGCCATCATGTGCCAGCAATGCCCCTCTGCCATGTACACTGGCCAAACCAGACAGTCTCTACACAAAAGAATAAAGTGACACAAATCTGACATCAGGAATCATAACATTCAAAAACCAGTAGAACACTTCAACTTTTCTGGCCACTCAGTAACAGACTTAAAGGTGACAATGTTGCAAAAGATAAGCTTCAAAAACAGACTCCAACGAGAAACTGCTGAACTTGAATTAATATGCAAATTAGACACCATCAAGTTAGGTTTGAATAGAGACTGGGAATGGCTGAGCCATTACAAACATTGAATCTATTTCCCCATGTTAAGTATTCTCACACCTCTTGTCAAACTGTCTGTAATGGGCTATCTTGATTATCACAACAAAAGTTTTTTCTCTTAATTAATTAGCCTCTTAGAGTTGGTAGGACAACTCCCACCTTTTCATGTTCTCTGTATGTGTATATATATCTACTTATTATATGCTCCATTCTATGCATCCAATGAAGTGGGCTGTAGCCCACGAAAGCTTATGCTCAAATAAGTCTCTAAGGTGCCACAAGTACTCCTGTTCTTTTTGCAGATACAGACTAACACGGCTGCTACTCTGAAACCAAACATGATTAAAGATCTAGAAAACATGACCTCTGAGGAAAGATTGAAAAAAATGGGTTTGTTTAGTCTGGAGAAGAGAAGACTGAGAGGGGACATGATAACAGTTTTCAAGTACATAAAAGGTTGTTACAAGGAAGAGGGTGAAAAAAATTTCTCCCTAACCTCAGAGGATAGGACAAGAAGCAATGGGCTTAAATTGCAGCAAGGGAGGTTTAGGTTAGACGTTAGGAAAAACTTCCTAACTCTCAGGGTAGTTAATCACTGGAATAAATTGCCCAGGGAGGTTGTGGAATATCCATCATTGGAGATTTTTAAGAGCAGGTTAGACAAACACCTGTCAGGGATGGTCTAGGTAATACTTAATCTTGCCATGAGTGCAGGGGACTTGACTAGATGATCGCTCGAGGTACTTTCCAGCCCTACGATTCTATGATTCCGACACCTTCTCACACATCTGAAGTGTAACCACATCACCCCAATCCTTAAATATCTCCATTGGCTCCCTGTTTATAGAAGAATGTGGTTATAATTCACCGTACATTTCAAAATCCTTCCATGCACTGTCTGCAACTTCTCTGGATCACACAGGTGACTTTCCACAAATGTTTTAGAGAGATTAGAGACAAATTTGAGAAACTCACCAGGACTTTCCCAGGGAATTGATTGCTGATCCTGAGGTTGGTCTGATACACCTTGATCTGTACAGGAGCGGTATTGTTTTCCTGGAAGTTGACTTCAAAGTCCACCAGTCCCTCCACCTTCTTGCACAGACCCGTGAGCTGGTAGCGGCAGGTGCCTTGGAAGTCATATCTCTGTCCATCAAAGGTGGCATAGTGCAGATTCCTTGTCACAGAGCAGGTGGCATAGCTGGAGGGGTAACAGCCCCGTACGCCATTCACTAGCCCGCACCTCTCCGACTGTTTGCACGTAGCAGCCACGCATTCAACTTGTCTAGTGGCTGCGTTGCACATGCACCGTGTCCCACATGCCTCATCGACCCAGAAGCTCTCGTTGGGGGCATAGGGGCGCCCCTCAAACTGGCACCCACAGCTGCTCTTGGGGATGCATTTGCCCTGGCTCAGCACAAAACCATCCTTGCACTGGCAGCTTTCTACGCAGGGGTCTTTGCAGCTGTTGGGGGCTGACTGGTCCACACATGTGGCTGGGCAGGCTGTTCCACAGAGCTGGTACTGGCTGTTCTCCAGGGTGCACTCCATGGCTGGGGAGTGAAGGACCCACAGATTTAGCAGCAAGTTCTCTCCAAGCAAAAGCAGTATTTAAAATAGGCAGAGGGGGATGTATCTTGTGGGGCTCTGAGAGCCCTCGAATCCCAGTGACCTGAGCAGGAGGTGAGGGTGCTCAGTACACTGCAGGAGGTAATTAGCACCTTACAGGATCAGGTCCATGGTAGGAAGAGTAACTTAAAAACTGCATTTTACCCCAACCATCCATGAGTTATCAGTGGGCGTTAGATACTCAAAGTGACAGGCACCTTAGCAATTCCAAGGACAAACAAATACTGTGGGTACAATAGAACCCAGGAGTCCTGATTTCCCAATCACTGCTCAATCCCAAACCACTAGATCATGCCCCCTCCCAACACCAGGGCTAGAACTCAAGAGTGCTGAGTCTAACCAGCAGACCGTAGACCTTGGCATACAAATCTGTACTCACGGCATCTGGCCAGCTGCCTCCATTCCCCAATCCTGACCCCCTCCAGCTGGCAGGCGTCCGCGTAGGCCTTCAGGGCCTCACACAGGGCCTTCCTGTAACCGTCGTTGTGGCACAGATCGTACACGCAGTTGTCTAAGTAGACTGTAGGATCCACCTTGCTGTGGCACTGGCTGAAGGGCCCATCTGAAACCTTGGCTATCAAGCCGCACAAGGCCTCCTCCTTGTACTTTCTGGCTATGCTGGGGGCACAGGGCCTGCAGCCTCCAATGCAATCGTGCCAGCAAAACTGATCCTCATCTTCCACTGCCCAGCTTTTCCCCAGGGCGGCGACACTAGGAGCCAGATCCCCGTCCGGGGTCCGGAAGTCATCGGAGAGGTCCCCGTTATAGTTGCCGCACAGGCCGCACAGGCTGTCGGAGAAGACCCTGGGGACGGTGACCCTCAGGTGGTTGTTCCAGTCATAGGACACTCTGAGGTTGAAGTCGGTGCGGAGGACGAGGGAGGTGCCGCTCTGATAGAGCCGAAGGGCCCCGTTGTTCAGGGAGATGGGTAAGTGGGCCCTGGTGTTATTCACCTTCACGGTGAGAAAAAGGGCAAAGGTCACAATTGAGTGCACTAGTCTGTCATTTGCAAAGTGGCCCCTACTCAGATTAGCAAGGGGTGCAACCCGGACCCAAATCTGAACCAGAATTACTTTAAAACATCATATTAAATAGAGCTGGGTGGAGAAATGTAATTCTTTTTGGAGGATTTCAATGTTTTGAAAGTTGTTCAATAATGGAACCACACTTTTAAAAGTCAAGACTGGGATCCTAAATTCTTAACTTTGCTGCACTGTAAAAATCATGGTTTTAAAAAAGACACTGGTGTTATAGATTACTATAACAATCTGTAACCCAATAATCCACCCTTTGTTTCCTATGATGTCAGTGGGTTTAACTACTTATGCTAAACAATCTGTTCCACCTTGTATTTAGCTATGACACTCTGAGGGCTCATCTACATTTGGAAAGCTGCAGCTGTGGAAAAGCCACACCCCTGTTGCCGGAACAGAGTGCCCGAGGACAGCAACAGTGGGGTTTGTTGCCTGGTGTGCTTCGCGCCAATGAACACACCAGGGTGGAGAA